AGGCAAATTGGCCCTGGCAGAGGGGCAGCACTAGACAAGCACCCCAGATAATGCCACGTAGAGCCCTGTACGGTGCACAGACTGAAAGGGGGATTTGATGCATTTTCCTCCCCTAGCAGATGGGTGAACTCCAAGCCTAATGTGCATGCAGTCTTTGGAGATCCTGCGATGAAAAGTGTTATGGGCAGGCCAAGGATTACTGCCAAGACAGCTGGCTCCTTGGAGCAGGGACCTGCTCTGCCTCACTGGGTGTCCAGAGTCCCCTGAGCCACTCCATCGAGCCCTGCACGAGAGGTTTTCAATATGTTGCAACAGCATCTCCTGCACCTGCAGGTAACTGAAAAGCCTTCATTTTAAAATCCATATTTCTGACAGCTTTTAATGACTCTTTCTGCAATAGCTAAAAATATCTTCTGTAAGGACAAACAGCTCTCAGTTTTGTGACGAGGACTTCATGTTTCCAATTATGTCGGGTTTTGATGCGAACTGGATGTGTTCTTTCTGAAAGGTGACTCACAGGGAACTTATTACTGCCAGCGTGAAAGGCAAGGGGCTGCTCATCAGGAATCAGCCAACTCAATTAGGAGCCTGACTCCTAAATTAAACTGAGGCATAAAAAACAATTCAGATCTCAGAGCAGGAAATCTCTCACTTAGCAATGCAGAAAAGACTTGTAAATTGAACCTGAAAGGGGCTTTATTTATTAGATTTATACCCTCCCCTGTCCAAATAGCTCAATTATTCCAACAGATTGCTGCTGCGGGGGTGAGGAAGGAGAAGACACAACAGTAGTGACAAACAAACAGATCAAAAAATGTCAGCTATCCCCCAAAATATTGGTTTTTTGGGGGGGGATCTATTTTTCAAGATTTCTTATGAGAATTTGGGGATTTTGAAATAACACTGAGAAAGTTACACTATAATAATAATACACTGAGAAAGTTTTTTAAAAACTGAAAATATTTCAGACTGCATTTGAAATAATCACTGAGAAAACATTTTTATGAATAGCGTGTTCAGGGACAAAAATAATTTTCAATTAAAATTCAGAGGTTTGGATTTTGAAAGCCCGAAGCCAAACTGCGCTGTGACAAAACAACCCAGCCAAGAAAATGTTGTAACAGCAAAGGCTCTTATCACCGTGACCCAGTTCTGTCCCCTGGGGGCAGAGGACAGGAACATGGACCTCAATGATGGAGGAGCATCACAGGGGAGAAAGTCAGGAACTTTCCAGCGTTTCTTATTTGGACTCCTCCTTCCCAAAAGCAAATGGCCCAAAAGAGCCGTTCGGTGGAAATAAGGGGTTTCTTAAGAAGGCCGGGGCGAGCGAGCCATACGTGGCTGCACTGCCTGTTCCTAATCCTCATGGGAGAGGTGGATTCAGCCCTGCAGAGAGCCCATGCAAGGCTTGTGCATCATGTAAACCCTGCTGAATCAGCTTAGGAAGGAGTTAAGCAATGTACAACCTCGCTGGGGGTTTTCTGCTCGAGGATGAACTTCACCCACAGGAAATACATGCACTTTCCTTTTGCTTACTCTTACAGATTGGGAAGAAGCGTGGTTCTCCTCTCACCCAGACTCTAATGCCAGATGCAAGATCCTACTTAAATCGAATCCAAAATAATGTCAGAGGGGCAGCGGAGGGCTGAGTCCCGGAGGAGTGTCTGAATGGAAAAGGGTGCAAGAATGAACAAGAGACCATTACCAGGCAGCTTCTTGTCTTAAAACAATCACCCCCTAGCACCTCCAAATGCACAGAGCGCAATCCTACTTCCACTTAATTAGAAGATCATCTCTGTTAGGTAACTAATCTTTCCTAGTCCTTGGGTAGTTTCATGGATTCTCTGGCTTTTCAGCACTTCCAAGTGACCCCGAAGGCTCTTGCCTTCAAAATTCCCTTGGAACGAACAATAGCCGCTAGTCGAAAAGACGCACCGACGGGAGCCCCCTTTCCTGCAGGTCAGCTTTCCAAGCGTTGCTTTGCCATGCTGATTGAAACGTTGACCTTCCCTGCCTTTCTACTGCTTGCCAGGAGTCCAGAGCTTTCCACCTACTGCCTGCTTCCTTAAATAGACCAAATTAAGGGATTATCCTGTCACTCATTTCTAGGTAGCTCTCCTTGCAAGTGCTCACCCAAAAAGGTGAAAGTTAAACACGGCTGGTTGTGTGTCCCGTGAGAAGGGGTGACCAGTTCTGAAAGGAGTTGTAGTCATTTGCAATTTGCTTAGTTTCCTTACAACAGGGGTTGCACACCCATGCGGTGCACCAAGGCGAGCCACAGGTCCCCGGGACCACATGCTGCATGGATACCTGGCCCACCCAGCCATGACCCCATGTGTCCATGCGGGCCCCCCCTCCCACAGCCGCGCCGTGTGCTCACAGGCCCCTCAGTTCCCCAAACTGCACTGCACACTAGGGCAGGATGGAAAGTGGCAGCTGGAGGAGGGAGGGGGAGCCTGGAGACTAGGGGGCAATGGGGGATAGTGGCAGCCTGGCAGGAGCGTAACCCCTTGCAGGCCACGTGCAACCTGCTGCCTGCCCTGTGGATAGTGAAACAAGAAGCTGACACAGACCCACTGACTTCAAGGGAGCGGTGCCCATTTATAGCCACCCAGAATCTGATGCAATGTCTTTGCAGTGCCACCGGGAAAGATGAGTCAGTCTGTCTTGCAGGCTCCGTGCTCAATTGACAGATATGCAACCCAAACAGGACAGAACATATCACAACCTAAAAAGCAGTAAAGATTAAAGTGCAGAGCAGCACCAGTCTGCAGCCCGCGAAGATGTGTGACTTTTGGAAGAAGACACCTAAGGATCCAAAGTAAAAGTAGATACTGATCACTCAGGCTTGAGTCCACAGGGGTGCTCTCTCTTCACACCCTCCGGTCATTGATTGTTATTAATAAGTAGCATTATTTTTAATGCCCTAACTCCAACATTTGCATTCATGGCGTTTTCACAAATTTAGCCTGGCTGGTTCATTTCTTTTGTTACAGTAAGGGGCCCTCCTTTGCAATGCTGCCTTAAAGCACAGGAATGATGCTACAGGAAGATGCAGAGGGGCAGGGTCTCAGGCTGCACAAATCACTTTGCTGGCTGCAGTGGAGTTGCATCTATTTAAAGGCAAAATCTGGGGACATCCTGTTCTTTCCCTGTTCTTCTTCTATACGCCCTGCTCTGACACAAGTTTCCATTGTGGCTTTTGGCAAGTTCCTTAACTCTGCTACCTCAATTTCCACATGCAGAAAATGGGACAAACAACCCCACAATCGTTCTGTGAAGGGCTGCTGAATTAGGTTTTGGCTGACTCGTCCTCTCAGATACGGCTGTGAAGCTCCCTTGGTTTCAGAGGTTTTTTGTCTTGGATTTTAAAAGTACCACGGAAGGAGACAAGTGAGAGGAGACTCCAGTACAATGTGTGCAAAGCTGTGAATATTTATAGCGTAGTACTCTTCATAAGTGCTTCTCTGGCAGTTTCTAGGATGGGGAAGTGAAGGTGTCGATAGTGTATTTCTGGTGCCACGTGAAAGGAGCTAGCAGGCACAAAAGCAGAGTGCGACTGTCGCTGCCTGTAATGATAGACTTGACACATCAAAGCACACCTACCCATCTATTTCTTCTTCAGCCTATTGGAGCGAGGAAAAGCTATAATTTAGAGGCATAGAAATGGGTTGAATATTTTGCTCCTCTCCAGTGATTCGAGGAAAAATTATTATTACCAGAAAATGTTAAAAAAGGGAGAGTAATGTCTTGTTCATGTCTAATCTACCATATGATACTGCTTGGTTTTGTTCTGGTTTTAAATGTGCCAGTCAGTTAGTCACAGTCCCCCAGTGCCTAGACGACCCGTGTCACTGGTGTGATAAAGACATCTCAGTGGCATCACACTGGAGCCACGTGGCTAGCATTTCTGTCTGGCCTCTTCTGACTCCCCAGCCCCAGCCAGGTATCTATTTCAGCCGAAGCCAACAGCATCCATAAAGCCGACGCTGCTTTGTCTATGCAACGGCATTAGGACGTTATTCAGACCATGTCAACAACCTGCCTTTGGCGTAGCAAGAGAGACCCATAGAGCATAAGAGCCTCCGACTGCGGATAGCTAATGCTCTTTCCACACCACAGTAAAGACCTGTGTTTTGGGTGCAAAGCACCCTTGACTCAATCCCCCAGAAACCCAGCAGTTTGGTATACATGCACGTGTGGAGGCTGCTTAAACATTAAGAGACTCGTACAGGTAAATTAGCAAGAGCCAAAAGAACACAGCTGGTCTTTGAATGACAAAGTGGAAACATTAATATGCGTGCAGACAAGTACAATCCGAATCAAGGCTCCACAAATGGCTGGATGACTATAGGATGTGGACGGCACAGAGATCCTCTCTGACCCATCCACATCCCAGGATCCTGACCGAGGAAAATCCCACAGAGCTGAATGAGTCAGAGCTTCAAAGAGGCGGCCCTCAACTCGCTGCAGATTAGTACATCCCTGAGCACGGCTAAGGACCTTCCCCACAGCCAGTCTGATGAAAAGCAGATGGATTGGACGTTAAATACACATTTGCACTGTTACCTGATGTTTGGCATCTGCAGCACTCTTTGTGCCTCCAGATCCACCTTTAACAAATGACCCACCTGGCCAAGTCAATGGCAAAAGAGTCTTCATTTTAGCCCTAATAAGCCATGGCCTCGTGCTGCATCAAGCAGCCTCAGGATCCACCTTATTCATCACTGAACAACTCTGCTGCAAACAAGCTTCTTTCCCCCTTATATGAAACTCTGCCGTGCTCAGCCCTTCCCAGCTGTACGCTCTCCACTTCCCAGCTGTCTGGGTGTGCTGCAAGCCAGGAAGCAGTCTAAAGTCTGATTTTCCTGACTGAGACATTTAGTGTCTCCACTGCTTAGGATTTGTACTAATATGCATCTGGATATTAGATAGATATGTCCTGCCACTAAGCAGCTTGGGAGGTGAGGCTTAGTTCTGATCATTTCTTACCTTAAAATATCAGGAATGTCAAATATGATGTAAGAGAAACTGCTGGAGGTCTCCAGAAATGTGACTGAGGAGAGGAGCTGAATCTATCAGACATCCTCTCTCCACAGTGCTAATCACACATTAAAGCTAGAGAGGTGTGAACAAAAGCCAGAAAGAAATCCAAGAGTTTTAAACAGTCTGATTAGCAGCCCTCCCGCTTTCCCCCCACTTCAAGTGAGGAGCTTGTGTGCCCCTCTCTCTCTTTCAGGATACCAACAGCTCATTCGATCTCCGATCATCTCCAGGGTGTCCCAGGTAGTCAAAACTTGAATTTCCAATGTAGGAAATAGGAAGATTGTTTTTACCCTCTCAAGCTTTCTGCACATGTCCTAGAAGAGCAAAGTCATATGGGCTGAAGCCCAGCTTTTTTCTGTTTTGCCCTCAAGCACCCAGATCCCCAGGGAGAAGATCAACATCTGTAAGCAGAACAGTAGTGCAGGTGGACAGCTTGGGGCCGATTTCCATTGTGTATGAAAAAAAAAAGGGGTCTTCTCATGATGCTAAGAAAAAAACCAGGGTAGCACATAGCCAACTAATAGGGATCTTACCTGCCACGGCGTGGGGGATGTTCGTGATCATCACCCTCTGCGTGTGCGTTTTGATGCCTGCATCTGGATTCTGCATCTCCATGAGGAGGCCTTCGATCTGCAAAGGATGAGAGGGACAGAGAGCTTTGTGAGAATAAGAAGTCCGCAAAACAAAGACAGCCACTTCACAGGGATAATCAACCTGGGGCAGCACAAAGGAAGAGAATTAGCAGACTGCACCAACACCTCCCTACCTTCCTATTCCCTCCAGATGCTGCTCCAGTATTGCAGGAATACTGAGCCTCGCAGAAAAGGATACCTGCTTAAGGTACCACCATGCATTGTGTTTCCTGAGGGATACATATGGCTGTGTTTAGTATAAGTGGACCATGGAGGTGGCTGCTGCACGCAAACTCAGCTCAACTTTTTCAGGAGAGACATGGGATAGTTTGGAGTGAGTAGCAGAAACCTCATTTACTGCAAACACCTGTTCGTTTCTGGCCTGCCAGCTGGGTGCTGGGGCAGTAAGAGGAACAGTACAATAAAGGGGGGGGAGCAACTAAGACATGGAAAGCTGGCCCTACAGGACTCGCATCCCATTTATTTACAGATTCACTTAAAAGTATATCAGCAACAGGTTTTGGCAGCGGTTTGCACAAGATGTGTAGACACCCAACGCAAAAAGTCTGCTCTGCAGACAGGAACTACAGCAAGTCTTATACACACTCACCCTCACACGCTCACACACTCACCCTTGGGGCTGAATGTCAAAGGGTAGTTGGACTTCCAAATATCCCAAAACCTTCTCCTTGGTTTATTTTAAAACAAAAATGAAAAAAGAAGATTTGCCTTGGCAAGGTTTGGCCCCTTTTTAGCCGCTGCTCCGAGAGCACAAGAACCTACATCCTAGGTCCGGTCCCCTTGCACAGATGTGATGGGCTTGCTTATTAAGTAGCGTTCCTTGATCTTGCCATTGCATTGGTCTAAGCTTGCACACCAGGCTCATCACCATGGTACTGGAGTGCCCAGAAAGCAATGCTTGTCATTTTGTGACCTGACTCTGGAAATACACCCCTCCAGTCGGTGGCTTTACGCTAAATAAATCCACCGATGCCAGTTGTAAAGTTACCTCCCTCTGTGGACACGAGCATGGGCTGAGGAAGATCTTGTGTAACAGGGAGGAACATTTTTAAACCTCTCAGTGACAAAGAAGCCTATGACCTGATCCAAGGCCTGCTTAAGTTGATGAAGAAATGCCGGCTGGTTTCAGTGGATTTGGGATCAAGGCCCGAGTCTCAGTGAATGTCAAGTCCAATGTCTCTGGGCTTGACAGTGAAGACAGGATATTCATTAACGATTCATTTTTAAGGACAGGGTCACATTAGGAATGAAACAAAATTTGCTTCCCAGGATTGCTAGTGGCAGGATTGTCCTGCTGATGCCAAAGGAGGCAACTCCACTGAAGTCAGTGGAGCTGCGCCTGCTTACACCAGCTGTCAGTTCTGCCCCGCAGGTAGGGCTTGATCCCTGAAGCCCCATCCCGTGCACCATCATTTACACTTGGGCCAACAGTGAGTGTGAAATGCTATCTGGTCTGACTTGGCAGCACTTCACACATGCTTTGCACAGGTGAGGACAAAGCTCAGGACAGCAGGGGAGTGGGCCCCTTGTGTTTAGGGCCGCTGGGTTCTTTGAACTGAGCCAAGCTCCTTAAATCTGGCACTGAGATTTCAGCGATTTGAGCAAGGGTTCAGATCTTTGTACCACTTTACTACCGACTGCTGGAAGAGCTATTGATGGCTAGCGACACAGAGAGCTCTGCAAGCGTATGCCATGAACACTGCCTACAGCTTGAAACTCATTTGTTCTGTTGGTATATCCTGGAGGCATAATATCCTGGAGGCTCAACCTCCTTTCATGATCATCGCCAGCACTTCGGAAGCACCAAAGGATTGACTTTTTCCCAAGAATCCCTCCCAGGTTTTATACGCAGCCCTGTGCAAGCTGGGCTAGATATCTGGGAGATCAAAAAATCTCATGACTCTTTGAATGTCAGACTACCTACTGTTTCAGTGGAACCACAATGCACGGTGCTACGTGATGAGGGAGGCTGATTCTCAGCACCGTCCACCTCATCTTGCCGTCCTCATCCAGACATAACACCTGCTGATGTCAGTGATGGTACAAGAGAGTCCAGAGTATGCACCAGCCATGAGTGAGGCACTGCCAGAGTCCTGAGACTGCCTTCAAAGTCAGGAAGAGCTAAAGAATAAATCTTATTTTTTTCCATTTACCTGGTGGTTTCTGAGACTTGAAGCTGCACATTTTCCTGGTTATTTCTGCAGCCACAAAGACCAGAAAGTAGCCTTTCCTTTATAGTGAAAGGAAAACCATTGCTTCCAGGATTTGGGGCTTTAAGGGGAAACCACTAAACATCACAAAACTTTATAGAGAACAGGCAATGCTGCTAATCCGCCCTGTATACAGAGGCACAGACCATGTCTCAGTGGGTGCAAGCGTGGGTCAAAAGCAGAGTGGTGCTTGTGTCTATATGCAATTATTTATCCTGGCTCTGAAGATGGAGGAGGAAGCTGCCGCTCTGGGGAGAGGCAGGATGGGCACTAGCCTAACTCTGAGGGTGCCCTGGTTCAAGTCCCTATTCCATTGCAGACTTCTTGACCCCAACGTTGATGCTTCCACTGCAAAAAGGAGATAATAGTATTTGCACCGTGGCCAGGAATGCAGGAAGGGTAAATACATTAAAGATTGTGAGGTGCTCAGACATCATGGCAAAAAGGCCCATACGAAACCTCAGGGGCCCTGAGCACTTCCTTAGAAACCAGATTGCAACGGGACAGCCCCAAAGCGACATCCTCCAGCTCAGACCACCTGCCTGTCCCATTGACTTCACTGGGGCTCCTGCCTTTCCAGACCCACTCCGTTGGCCAAGTGCACGGTGCAGACCATATTCTTTGCTGACCCTTTGCGTCTGCAGCGTATGCCCAGCATCTCCCCCCGGGCCTGAGAGACAGACCTCGCCGAGAGCCCAGGACTTGACAGTTCACACGAAGCCGTATCAGTCTTCTGGTGCAGCGTTCTCTTTTGCTAACGAGCAAATAACTCCAGAGACTTGTAGCTTGTGTTGTCTCCCCGCTGCTCACCGTCTCTTCACAGACGCTGAACACATATTAAAAGAAACAAGGGAGATAAGTAAGGGAGCTCTTGCTGGGTGGTGCCTGCTGCTCTGGCTGCAAACCACGCACTTTCCTGATCAAAACTCAGCAGGTCTTTCCCTCTCCACCAAAGGGAACTGGCTGCTTATTATGGATTCCTAGAGATTAGAAGTTGCCATCAGCACCAGTGTGTCAGCAGGAGCCCAGGAGGACTATTTAAAATACAATGAGAACATCTGCTTTCCTTTCTGGGGCTTGGCTGTGTGTGCTTTCCCAAAAGAGCTCTGGCTGGTTTTAATTTGGTGTACGTGAGGCCACTTCCTGCCCTCGCTGCACACGGGCAGGCCCGCGGTGTACCAGATGAACGCCTGAGGAGGTTCACCCCGGTGCAGAGAACCAGCCCGAAACATGGGCTCCATTTCAGGCCCACCTGGAAAGGACAGAAATGCAGCAGACCCTGATCGATCTGCCACTCCAGCGGGCGAGGTACTCCCCAGCGACCACTTACCACAGGCAGGGGAGCAGGACCGTCGTGGGGAAGCAGAACAGCAGCAAATGACATCTCAGTGATAAAACAGCCCCCGGGGAAATTAAACTGAGTTCACCGAGGTCCCTGAGACCTTGCACAGTGGTAACTTTTGCCCCCAGAGCCCCATGGAGGGTGACAGGAATGATCTGCAGGCAAGAGACACAAAGAGCCAAATCCCGAACTCAGGACTTGGGGGAGAAAGTCTGCAAACCATGTGTAGGAGGCCACAGGCAGGAAGACACAGATGGGACAGGAGGAAGAGGAAAATAAGGGAACTGTGTTTCAAGTCTCAGCTACTTAGTGCCAATTAGCTTGTTACCTGCTTTTCTTCTGTCCTCTCCCTCTCCCCCATTCCCCTCCTGCTTGCTGAGAAAGCTCACCAAAGAGAGGCTCGCCACACGAATCAGCCTCTATGGGCTCAACTGGGCGACAGAGAATCACGGCTCTCTCCTGCATTCCCGTGCACCCCGGGTCCCTCTGCTCAGCCCCGCTCATCTGGCTGCAGCAGTGGGCTCTGGTCCTTGGGCTGGGAGGTGCCCTGGTGCGTGCCCAGCTTCCCACTCTCACTTGTAATCACCGACTTTGCCAGCGGGAATCCATCTTCAGCAAAGCACCAGCCTACAACCCTTCGACTAAGTGAGGCCATACAGAGTTTGCTACTACAGAGTGCTTGACGAAGAAGGAAGAGGCAGAGGCAGACTGCTGCTTGGTTGCACTGGCCACAGCTTGCCCTAGAGAGCAAAGGTTTAATGCTGGGCTGTTTTTATTTTGCATTGGGTTTCTGCAGTTCTGAGCAAGCAGAAGGAGCCACAGAAGGGCTTTCCTAAGCTGTCAAGCTGCCAGAAAGAGCATCGATATCAGACACAGGAATGTGCATGGAGGAGGACTGCCCCAGAATGGTATCTTGTGCTTCAAGCCTTTCATTGCAGGTGCCGTCGTCCCCCACAACAGCAGCATCAGCAGGGCCCACCAGGATCTTGGCTGCCTTGGAGTAACCGTGGAACAAACTGAAAGCAAAAGCTCACCCTGGAAATAGCCAGGACAGTGGCTGGGGAGGGGCCAGAGAAGCTGAGAGGTGAAGTGACTGCCCCAGGGCGTGGGGCAGATTAGGGGCTGTCTACAAAGAGAGCCCTGCTTGCCCGACTCAAGCCCAGTGCTCTGGGCTGGCACCGGTTCCCCATCAGGGCAGCGATGACTTTAATCCAGCCCATAACAGCTTCCCCTGGGCAGGCTCCAAAAGGGTTTTGCTTAATGAATAAGACATTTCCCCAGGGTGCTGCAGGGAGCTGAAGATGACCCTGGGGCAGTGGAACAGCTACCTACTGAGCACGAAAAACCACTGTCCTTAGCAAGCATCTCAGCCCTCCCTGGAGGTACTCAGACCAGGGCTGCTGACTCCTGCCGGATAGTCTCTTT